GTTCAGAGTTTTGACAAATGATCACAGATTTTTGACATTTGGTATGTTTGGGTGCTTATGCTAAAGTGCTAATAAAGACTGAACAAAATGTCCAAGTTTTTAAACTTTTTTGAACGGCTTAAATAAAAAAACTCAAAATCTGATACAGCTTAACTAAACAAGAAATTAGTAGAAACCAAATAAATTTTGTTAATTGGTTTCACTGTAGGGCAATTCCCAAACTACTTTGGAGTTGATCAACTGCCATTTTACCCTTGAATTCAGACTTTCCTTTTTTAGAAACATTTACTAAAATATAAATATGACTTTTATCCTCCTCCTAGTGTTTACATCTTTTTCCCCTTTTTCAACTGTGACCTGGCGAAGAGGATAATCACATTTAATAAAAACAAAAAACCTAAGAGAAATTATAGTTTACAAATAAAATAGAGTCAATCCCCGAAAAAGGCAGAGTCAAAACAACAAGAAACAACCATGCACGCACGAGACATTTAGAGAAGCACAGGGTTTTGGTCTGTGAGAAGAAGCCGGAGTATCAAGAAGAAAATCCCTGATTAGGATTGAATCCATCAACTTTTTGAAAGAGCTTATTTTACTTCTCATTCTGATGTTTGGGGCTTATCCTTACATTTTATATTTTGTTTTATATCAATAAAAAATGGAGGTCTAGTAAAAAAAATAAAATGAAAAGCAAACATGTTTAAACAGGAAAAAGCTGGAAGAAAATAAAGTAACATTAAACATCAATGTACGTAATTCTACACAATTTAAAAGTCCTTTAAGGAATTTCTATACTTTCCAGTTAAAATCGGATTATATGCAAAATTGAATTGAAAATTGAATTAAATTCAGTTTATTTCTATAGCACCAATTAATAACACATGTCATGTCAAGGCACTTTACAGTTCACCAGATCATACAGTCAAATTGAATTAAAGTTTTCTATCTAAAGAAAAAACAGCTGATTTCATCGACTCATTGACTCAAATGCAATCCCTCGCACTAAGCATGCTTGTAGCGACAGTGGAGAGGAAAAACTCCCTTTTACCAGGAAGAAACCTCCAGCAGAACCAGGGTCAGTGTGAGCGGCCATCTGCTGAGGCCGACTGGGGTTCACAGAGACAGAAGTAGAGATACAAAAGGCAGCTGTAAAAGACGGCCCCGTCCAGAAAAGGTTTTTCTACCTTTTGACCGTCTGTGGCAGTATGAGCTCGTCAATGTCATGCAAGGCCACATATTTGGATTTGTACATGTTCCTGTAGAGGCAGTCGTTGAGAGCAGGGATCTGACCAAAGTAGTGGAGGTCACCAGGACCATGCTTAGGCTGCCATCCTCGAGAAACATTTAGAAACCTGGACATGGACCAAGGAATCACCTCCACAAAGCCTGAGAAGAAAATAATGTGAAGATTCAGGTTAACCCTAAAAATCTATGAGACACTGAGTGTTTACTAGGAAGGATAGCACATATCATACACATTCTAAACCAACTTTGATGCAAGCACCTTTTTTACTCTTTTTTATATTTTCTAAATATTTTCGCTAGCCACAATGTTGTTGTTAGAGATAATGTTTAATATGTTTAAAGCTGACTATGGTGTACTTTTCTGTAACTAGATTTACAACTTTTAAAATGTAAGTGACCCCTCCACAGACTCCTCAAACTATATAGATTTTAACATCGGTTATTATCAGGTATTCAGCTCTAATAAGGCTGAATATAAAATATATAAAAGGGGCATTATATGAAGATATGCAGGGTACAAAGTAATTCAAGATGTTGTCCAGGGAAGTGGAAGATAAATTTACAAAGGTAAAAACTAAACTTAAAAAAATAAATAAATAAATGCATGTTTGGTAATACTTTAATCCAAATGAGATGGAAATATAAATGTCAGTCAAACAAAAAATAGCTAAAAGCACTCTAAAGACATTTAAATCTAAAGAAGAACTCTATTCTATACAGAAATTTGAAGCATTTACTAATATTTTACCTCAACCAAAACTACATTAATCAATCTGATGTTATCAAAATCAACGCAAAAACACTGGAGACAGGCAGCGGAGGAGGCTGTCCAAATGAATTGAATGTGGGGGGACCTATTGATGCAACAGCTTCAAAGAATATGAAATGATAAATATTATATTTACGTCTTTGTTTTTAATTTAAGTGGCATCATTGGAAGCTTTGCTCATCTGAACGTATTTTCTCTATGTCTGCAGGCATTGGCTGAATTACAGTCTAGAAGGGCTGAAAGTCTCTCTAAAAGGGACCACCCCATCACAGTGTGG